GAGAAGCAGTTGGAAATTTCAGATGCGCTCAGGTGAGAGGTGAGAACTTGAAGCCATGTATTTGGAATTTAGGATAAAGGCATTAGGATGAAGATAGTTTAAATTCATCTTTCTTTCCTGAGTCTGAGCAGCTTTTGTGTGAATTTCTTAGGCTTTGGACCTTAGGTCATTTACAGCTTTAAGTGTGATTGAGGCTTTGTCTTTTCCCCGATCTTGCTTAAGAGAGAGAAAAAATTGATGAACACTGATGTGAAAATGTAATAGATTGGATGTGCCTTATGACAAAATATGCTAATTCATATATTTCTGTGGTGCTTTAAAGCAATCGTCCTTACCTTTCCTAATAGCCAATGATGTAGACAGTTGGAAATTGAGGTACAAATAAATGAAGCGTCGTGCAGGTTCCCCACCCTGTTGGGTCACCGGCAGATCTCATCAGCCGTTGTAGTACTCAATGCATCATTCTGTTTATGTACATCTTTTTCATTTCTTTTTTGCTCCGAGACAGGGTCTCACTCTGTCACCCAGGCTGGAGTGCTGTGGTATGCTTGTGGCTCACTGCAGCCTCAACCTCCTGGGTTCAAGCAATCCTCCCACCTCAGCCTTCCAAGTAGCTGGGACTACAGGCATACACCACCACGCCTGGCTAATTTGTGTATATTTGGTAGAGACAGGATTTTACCATGTTGCCCAGGCTTATCTACATCTTTTTACACTTTTTGTCTAAGCAGTTTTGTGAATCACCCCCCTTTTTCAGTAAGAAGCCTCCATTTTAGTATTTTCTACAAAGATCAAAGACATAAATATGCTGGTGTCAAATTAAGGTGAAGTTGTTGGAGAGATCTAAAAATAAAATTATTGAACATTATGACGAATTTGAGGTTTAGTGCTTTGAACTTGAAAGTTGTCAGTAGAAAATAATTGTCAGATGGCTCACTTAGTCTCTATATTAATATGCTCACACAGCAGTTATGTGTTCGTGGGTGTATGGTACTTGGGAGAAGACCAAGAATAGGGCTGGGCAAGCCTTTTGTAGGCACATTGGGAACCTCTACTTTATTTCACCTTAGCCCAGTAATGTAGTACACTGGTTTCTCAACTTTCTTGATGGGGATCACCTTTATTATAACTTTCATTTGAAGTTAGCTCTATAGTTTCCAGAATGCCACCAACGTCACATTTGGAATGTTGTTGAATTATTTTGGCACATCTTTATGGTTGAATATAATACTACCATTTTACATTTGAGGAAACTGGAATATTCCCCCGGATCGATATTCCCTTCACAGCATGTCATGATATTGTAGGACATTAAACAGACTTTATGAGTGGGTTGTTTCCAGGACAGAATAAGTTCTCCGGAGAAACTGGAGTTAGCCCAAAATAAAAATAGTGGGCTAATTTCAGGTGAATTCTGCGTTTTGAGGATGTTATTTCAGAAAATACCTTTTTGGTTTTTTGTTACTTTCTTAAGTATATCTGATCTTTCATATTTTTCATCTCAATAGTTGGAAACAAGAAAGTTTAGCAGGCAAAAAGATGACTATTTTCAACTTTCCTATAGCTGCTTTTTTTTTTTTTACTTTTTTTTTTTTAAACTTTGTTTTACTTTCCTATAGCTACTTTGTTTTTTACTTTGTTTGTTTTTTAGCAGGGAAAAAGATGACTATTTCCAGCTTTCCTACGGCTACTTTGTTTTCTTCAACAGCTTCTTTTCTGCATTTTGGCACATTGGCAATTTATTTGGAGAAGATGTAGTGAGAAAAGATGAATACCTAAAAGATTGTTTTTGTTATTAAAAATGTTTTTTGGCTGGGTATAGTGGTTCATGCTTCTAATCCCAGCACTTGGGGAGGCTGAGGTGGGAGGATAGCTTGAGCCCAAGAGTTCAAGACCAGCCTGGGCAACATAGACCCCTGTCTCTACAAAGGATTTTTAAAAGCTAGCTGAGTGTGGTGGTGTGAGCCTGTAGTCCCAGCTATTCGAGAGGCTAAGGTGGGAGGATCGCTTGAGGCCAGGAGCTTGAGACTGCAGTGAGCTATGATTGCTCCATTGCACTCCAGTCTAGGTGACGCAGCAAGACCCTGTCTCAAAAAAAATTGTTTTTTACAAAGTTTCAAGCACACACAGACACATAGAATAACACAATGAACCACATATATCGGTAACTCAGATTCAATAATTTTCAGATATTCCCATGTTTGCCTTGTCTCTCGCTTTATTTGTAATGTAAATGTCAGACTTGCCTACTATACCTGTGATATGTCAGCTTGCATCACTAAAAGAAACACATTACATAAATGCAATGCCGATATCATAGCTAATAAAATTAACACGAATTCTTTGATATTATCGATTATGCAGTCCATAATCAGATATTTTCTTCTTAGAAATGACTTTTTACAGTTGGTTTGTTCAAATCCAGATCAGATAAGTTTCACACATTAAATTTGGTTAAAGACCAATTTTTAAAACATGACTGTTAAAGAACCACATGGGAAAGCTTTTATTGAATCTTCCAACAATTTTACTTTCTGTTTCCTGTAACACTCCTTTTTCCCCTTTCATTTCAAACTAGTCTTTTCTTTTTGTGGGTGGTGGGGAGGAGATGGGGGGACAGAGAAGAGAATCCCAAACTTGGCATATTACAATTAAGAAATTAAAAGTTTGTTTTAGAAATAAATAGTTGAAATACCAACTTAGAGATTTGCTAGATCATATAATTAGAGTAGTCCAAAGAGGATCTTAGGAATTCCCTTTCACCCTCAACTGTATAGAATTGTCCTGAATCACTAAAAATAATGCGAGAATCATTTTGAGTATGATGTACTGCTGTATATAACTAGGATAATTTTGCCTGAGATGTTCTAAATATTTTGATCAAATTTTATAGTGCAAATAGTAGAGCATGGCCATAAAAATTGTTTTCCTTAGCTTTTGCTTAATCTTGATTTAAACCAGATTTACTGGTTTCCAAGATAAGCTTAGAAATTTATGTTAGACTTTTACATAATATCCTAGACTTATCTAGAGAGATATGCAAATTACTTTTGTATTAAAGAGATTGTTTAATCTTTTGAATGTTGCAGAGGAATTGATCTTGTCAATATTTTATTTTTTGAAAAAGATCATAGAGTAATATGAAACTCTTTGTATGACATTGGCATTCTAGTTTTTGGTTTAAAAAAATGCACTTTATCAGAAGTCTGCATATGGTGCTTAATCAGACATTATAGACAGAAAAGATGGAATCCTGTTTCAGAACCAGCATGCTTAGTTGTGCAGGTTGTACACTGTTATTGAGTTGAGTTATTCGTGCAAGAGTCAACTTGTATATTAGGACAGTTTCTGGCTGATGGTAGTAAAGTGTCTGGAGGAAGGAACACCTATAGGGGCTAGCAGTAGTACTATGGCCTATATTTTCAGTTTCTATTTACAAATGAATATTTGTTGAAGTGATTGAGAAGAATGTGTACATGATATCTCATTACATATTACCACATACTATAGCTCTCACTTATTGGCAACCTCAGTTATCTGTTACAGAGCCCACAGCCAAAATAAAGTAAAACTGGACCAGTGAAGTGAAAATAAATTGTATAGTTTATGAACATCATATTTTACATTTAAAAGAGCCTGTTAATTCTATATATGCAGCTCTAGCCCATTTATCTGTTTTCCAGTGCAATAATTTAAAAGCAGCAAGTAGAGGGGAGGAGACTGCTAGAGTTAAATAGCTAGCAGAAGCAGTGAGTGAGAGCTGACAGCCAGGTGGCCAATGGTAGAGAAAGAAAATTTAGGAAAGGTAAACATAAGAGCCCAAACAGACACAAAGCTACCATAGATTGGTTTCAGCTTAATAGACGAAGATGCATTTCTAGCTCAGAAGTATCAGGGGAGAGTACTGTTTTGCTGCAAAATGTAGTCAATGATGTTCTTAATATTGATCCTGAGTTATCCCAAAATGTTAAACGAGATATGCCAAATCCTCTTTAATGAAAGAAGTTTGTGATATATTTTAAAAAGCTTTTTCTCCACTAAAATTTCAAATACTGTGGGCGCTTAAAGAGATTTGAATGCCTGGGTAGCATCTACTTAATGAAGTGTGCTGCTTAGATATCTTTGTTACCTATCGATTTCTCCTATGTGGAACATTACTGTTTCTAAAGATGCCAGATAAATTATGTTTCTGTGGTCTGATCACATTTAGGAATCTTTGTTTCTAAAAAAGGGACTTGAGGTAAGTAAGAATATGAAAATAAGGCCTGGCGTGGTAGTGCACACCTGTAATCCCAGCTCTTTGCGGGGGCTGAGGTGGGAAGATCACTTGAGGACAGGAGTTAAGAGAACAGACTGGGCACCATAGTGAGACCAAAATAAAAGTGAAACAAATAGCTGGGCATGGTGGCACATACCTGTAGTCCTTGTTACCCAGGAGGCTGAGGTGGGAGGATTACTTGAGCCCAAAAGTTTGAGGTTATAGTAAGCTATAATCGCACTGCTATACTCTAGCCTGGGCAACAGAGTGAGACCATCTCTTAAAAAATATATATATATATATGCTACAGATTTTCCATTTGTGGTATCTAACATATAGTAAACACTCAAATATTTGTTGTCTTTTGAGGTACTTAATTCTTGCTTAAAAAAAAAAAAAAGTAGCTTATCTGACCTAAAATTTTAACGTGTGAAAATTTGTGGTTGAAAAATCTCTGGGCTGGGTGAGGTGGCTCATGCCTGTAATCCCAGCATTTTGAGAGGCTGAGGCAGGAGGATCATTTGAGGCAAGAGGTTTGAGACCAGCTTGGGCAACATAGCAAGACTCTATCTCCACTAAATAAAAAAAGAAATTACCCAGACGTGGTGGCAGGTGACTATAGTCCCAGCTACTCAGGAGGATGAGGTGGGAGGAGTGAGACCTTGTCTCTAATAATAATAATCATCATCATCATCATCATCTCTTGACTTGTAAAAATATTACATTTTATATTGAATTATAGGCTGAAGACTTTAAGTGACAAGTCAAGAGAAGCAAAAGTGAAAAGCAAACCCAGGTAAGCTTGTGCTAAGATTTTAAGTTACTGTGACTTAAATTTCATACGTTTGGTTGTGTTCGTAATTGTGTAATTATATTAATGAACCTTAGATTTGTTGAGTGCATCTGACTACAAAATAATTTATTGGTTCTTTCTAAATTTTGTAACGGAAAATTTTCCAGTAAAATTGTGAAATGGTTGAAAAAATGATAAAGTATAATTGTTTTACTCTGACAATCAGTGATTATTATTTGATGAAAATTAGTCATTTTTAATTTGTGTAAGAGCAAAATTAAAAGTCCTGAATTATTGTAAAGCAAATTAATAATGAAATACTACTTGGCAAATGAGCCTCTTTAGCTGTGTTACCTGTTTTATATGAAAACACCAGGATTGTGCTGTTTGTCCATTTTTTAAATAAAGTAAAGCGTGTGACCAGATTTCATTTTCAGCCTAGAGATGAACTTTGATCTTATGTATTTGTTCTTATCCAACATTATATTAAATCATTTATTGTATTGTATGCTGAAGACAATCTCTGGGGCAAAATGATGGTTGATAGTGTGTTACAGTACATTAACTCTGAAATAAAACACATTTCTCTAAAAGTTTAATAATTGTCATTGGTGATTTTAAAATATATTACAATTGACAATGTCAAAATTCTTGTATGTACCTTTTTTTTTTTTCAGTTGGCTAAATCAAGAACAGTTTTAATAAGTGTTTCTTTTGGGCAGGACTGTTCCATTTTTGCCAAAGTACTCTGCTGGATTAGAATTACTTAGCAGGTAAGTGTTTTCATTTGTAGAGGAAGGTTATACTTCTGACTGTTTTACTGACCAAAAGTATCTTTTACTTTTATAGGTTAAAAACCTTAAAATAGCTAAATTTTACCTTAATGCAGTGATTGGAAATTATTTGTGTATTATTTTCCTTGAAAGCTTTCACTTTTCACTCATTAGTACAAAGTCCATTCAAACTTTGAGCAGACAGATCAGTATGGTATTTACAAGTCAATACTTTACTATGTTTGTTGATAATATGTATCGCTTCTTTGTTACAAGAAAAATGATTCTGGATTTGAGGCCCTGATAATTTTGTTTTTTCACTTTGATTCTTAATGTCATTTCTTTTTCCAGTCCATTCTTTCATTGACGTGGAGGTTAATATTAAAATATGTGGTCTTTTTAGATATAACATCAAAAGCACAAAGAAGATAAAAATTAGACACAATGGACTTGGTCAAAATTAAGTACTTTTGTGCATCAACGCCATCAAGATAGTGAAGTGACAAAACATAGAATGTGAGAAAATATTTGCAGATCATATATATGAGGAACGACCTGTATCCAGAATATATAAAGAACTTTGGTAACTTAACAATAAAAAGACAAATAACCCCATGAAGAAATAGACAAAAATTTGAATAGACATTTCTCAAAAGAAGATATGCAAATGACCAATAAGCACATGGAAAGATGCTCAACGTTGTTAGTCTTCAGGGAAATGCAAATCAAAACTACAATGAGGTCACAGTTGCTCATGCCTGTAATCCCAGCGCTTTGGGAAGTTGAGGCAGGCAGATCACTTGAGGTCAGGAGTTTGAGACCAGCCTGGCCAACATAGTGAAACCCTGTCTCTTACTAAAGATACAAAAATTAGCTGGGCCTGGTGGTGCGTGCCTGTAATCCTAGCTACTCAGGGGGCTGAGGCAGGAGAATCTCTTCTGAGGCAGGAGAATCACTGGAGTGCCATGGCGTCATCTCGGCAGAGGTTGCGGTGAGCTGAGATCGTGCCATTATTCTCCAGCCTGGGCAACAAGAGCGAAACTCCATCTCAATAACTAAATAACTAAATAAATAAATAAATACAGTATATGGTTAAAGTATGTCGTTATACATAGTTCTGTGCTTACTAATGTGCCATTTGACGGATGTGTGTGGTAAAGATGTGTGTGGGAGAGGGTGTACTGCTTTTCCTTATCTGTATTTGTTATGACACAATCTCTAATACCTACATTTTCCTTTCTCCTTTCTGGTTCTTCATTGGGTTTCTTTTTATGGTTGCTAAATCTAGAGATTTTCCTTCTCTGAAGTGAAAAGTACTTAATATGATATTTTCTTCCTTTGTTTTGTTGCGTGAAGAACAGAAATGAACATGAAAGGCAGTGTAGTACAAATTAATCAGTAACATATTGTTTACTATTTACATTTTATCTTTATTTTCTCTCTAGAAACTTAGTTGAAATAGCTTCATTTTACTGAGAAATTTATGTTAGAGCTATCGATTTTTTGTGTGGTATTTTTTTGGGGATGGCGTTGCATTTTGGGAGTCAATGTGGGAAATTTACATCTATAGGAGGGTTTCAATAATGGGTCCATACATTGCACTGAAACAGTCTTTTCCCGTTGGAACAAAAATTGAATGTGGGAAAGACCATTTTAAATAGCAAATATTTAAATCCTATTAATTTTAAAAATGCAGTATACATAACATAAAATTTGTCTTAACCATTCTTAAATTGAGTAGTGCTGAGTACATTCACATGGTTGTGCATCCAATCCCAAAAACTCTTTCCGTCTTGCAAAATGGAAACTCTGTACCTATTAACCGACAACTCTCATTTCTACTCCCTCCTCTCCATCCCAGGCAACCATCATTCTATTTTCTTTCTCTGTGAATTTGACTATTCTAGTAACATCATATAAAGTACTTTTGTGTGTGACCAGCTTATTTCATTTACCATAATATTTTCAAAGTTTATGTTGTAGCATGTGTCAAAATTTTCTTTCTTTGAAAAGCTGAACGTTCTGTTGTAAGTATGTACCATATTTTGTTTATTCATCTGTTGATGGACACTTGAGTTGCTTCCACTTTTTGGCTGTTCTAAATAATGCTGCTAGGAACACGAGTGACAAGTATCTTTTTGGCACCTTGCTTTCAGTTCCTTTGGGTATATACCCAGCTGTAGAATTATTGGATCATATGGTAATTCTGTGTTTTATTCTTTCTGGAAACACCATACTGTTTTCCATAGTGACTGTATCATTTTACTTTCCCATCAGTATTGTATAAAGGTTCTAATTTCTTCCTATCCTCACCAATGCTCGCTATTTTCTTGTTTTTTATTATAGCTACTCTAATGAGTGTGAGGATTTTCCCCTGTGTTTTCTTCTAAGAGTTTTTCTTGTCAAGATTGTTTTGGCTGTTGAAGGTCATTTGAGATTTCATATGAATTTTAAGATGTATTTTCTGTTGTTTGCAAAGAACGTCATTGGGATTTCGATTGGGATTAAATTGAATCTGTGGTCATTTTGCTTATTACAGATAACAGTGTTAAGTATTCCAATCCATTAACATGGAGTGCTTTTTCTATTTAGTGATGTATTCTTTAATTTCTTTCAATATTGTTTTGTAGTTTTCATTGTGTGAGTCTTTCATCATCTTTGTTAATTCCCAAGTATTTTTTTTTTGTCGCTATCACATATGAAATTGTTTTCTTAATTGCTTTTTTGAATTATTTATTGGTAGTACATAGAAACAACTGACTTGTGTGTTGATTTAGTATCGTACTTTGCTGAGTTCCTTTATCCTGATAGTTTTTTGTGTGGAACTTTCAGGGTTTTCTGCATATAAGATCACATCATTTATGAATAGAGATCATTTTACTTCATTCATTCCAATTTGAATGCCTTTTATTTCTTTTCCTTGCCTAATTGCTCTGGCTAGACCGTCCAGTACTGTGTTGAGTCGAAGTGGAAAGAGCAGGCATCCTTGTCTTGTTCCTTCTCTTGATCCTGATCTTACAGGAAAAGCTTTCAGTCCTTCAACATTGAGTATAATGTCAACTATGAATTTTTATTATGTTGATATTGTTCCCTTCTACTTCTAGTTTTAATGTTTTTATCATGAAAGGATGTTGAATTTTTTAAAATAATTTTTCTGCTTGAATTAGGATGACCATGTGTTTTTTTCCTTTCGTTCTACCAATCTGGTATATTATTACATTGACAGATTTTCATATTTTGAGCCATTCTTGCATTCCAGGAATAAATTCCACTTGGAAATTGTGTATAATGTTTTTAACATGCTGCAGAATTTAGTTTGCCAGTATTTTGTTGAGGATTTTTGCGTTAGTATTCTTAAGGAGTATTGGTCTGTAGTTTCCTTTTCTTGTATACCTTTGGCTTTGGTATCAGAGTAATGCTGGCTTATAGAATGAGTTAGGATTTATTCCTTCCTCTTCATTTTCTTTTTTAAAAGAATTTCAGAATGGTTGATGTTGGTTCTTTTTTAAATGTTTGGTAGAATTCACCAGTGAAGCAATCAAGTCCAGGGTTTTTCATCTTAAGGTTTTTTATTACTAATTAAATTTCCCATTTCTTCAGGATTCAGTCTTGGTATGTTTTGTGCTTGTGGGAATTTGTCCACTTCAGCTAGGTTATCCAGTTTGTTAGCATACATTGTTCATAGCACTCTCTTATAATCCTTTTTATTTCTGTAAGATTCGTAGTAATAGTCCCACTTCATTATAGTTTTAGTAACTTGAATCTTTTTTTTTCTTAGTCAATCTAGGTAAACATTTGTTAATTTTGATAATTTAAATTGTTTTATCTTCAATCATGTTGATTCTTTCTTCTCCTCAAATGTGCTTTGGAACTCCTCCAGTGAATTATTCATTTCAGTTATTAGACTTTTAATCTCCAGAATTTCTTATTGGTTCCTTTCTGCTTTATATCTACCACTGGTAGATATAAATGGTAACGGTATTGATGTTATCATTTTGTTCCTGTATCATTTTTCACCTCTGACTGGCATGAGATTGTGTGTATCTCATTGTGGTTTTAATTTGCATTGCTCTGATTATTAGTGATGTTGAGCATTTTTTTCATCTTTGTTGGCTGCTCGTATGTCTTCATTTGAGAAGAGTCTATTCATATCCTTTGCTCACTTTTTAATGGGGTTTTTTCTTGTTCATTTGTTTTAAGTTCCTTATAGATTCTGGATATTAATCTTTTGTTGGATGCATAGTTTGCAAATACTTTCTCTCATTCTGTAGGTTGTCTGTTTATTGTGTTGTTTCTTTTGCTGTGCAGAAGCTATTTAGTTTAAGTCCCATTTGTCAATTTTTGTCGCAGTTGTTTTTGAGGTCTTAGTCATAAATTCTTTGCTGAGGCCAATGCCCAGAAGGGTTTTTTTCTGGGTTTTCTTCTAGAGTTTTTATACTTTGAGGTCTTGCACGTAAGTCTTTAATCTTGAGCTAATTTTGTAAATGGTAAGAGGTAGGGGTCCAGTTTAGTTTATCCATAAATGGCTAGCCAGTTTTCCTTGCGCCATTTATTGACTAGGATGTCCTTTCCCCATTGTTTATTTTTGTTGACGTTGTTGAAGATCAGTTAGTTGTAGCTGTGTGACTTTATTTCTGGGTTCTCTGTCCTGTTCCATTGATCTGCGTGTCTATTTTTATACTAGTACTATGATGTTTTGGTTACTATAGCCTTGTAGTATGGTTTGAAGTCAGGTAATGTGATGCTTCTAAGTTTGCTCTTTTTGCTTTGGTTTGCTTTGGCTATTCAGGCTCTTTTTTTGGTTCCATATGAATTTTAGATTTTTTATTTCTGATTTTGTGGAAAATGACATTGGTAATTTGATGGGAATTGCATTGAATCTGTAGATTGCTTTGGGTAATGTGGTCATTTTAATGATATCGATTCTTCTAATCCATGAGCATGGAATGTTTTTCCATTTGTATCATCTATGATTTCTTTCATCAGTGTCTTACAGTTCT